GTTGGAATCCCACCACTGTGCGCATAACGACGAGCGATGATTGCTGGTTCATGCCGGATGACTTGCAAAAAACCAGAATAAGTAGCTTTGTCAGTCATAATTGAGGGAGTGTCTTGATAATCACTTTCCTTCTAAATCCGAACCTAAAGCTGAATCTCCAGAAATTTAAGTTTACTTTTGACGAATTTTTATATATTTATCATTTATGGATATTCTTATATATTTTATATATTTATATATATTTTTATTATTTATTAAAAAATAAATTATTTATTTGTAAACTTATATTCTGAAAATAGTAATTCTTTAGTAAAATACATTAATAATTTTAGATGTTAAAAAGATAGTAAAAAAAAAGAAAGAGAAAAGCAAAGTATTTCTCATTAAATTATTTAATTAATAGTAAGTTTAATATTTTCAAAATTTCTTAGGCATTTTTTCTTTAATTTTACAACATTTAGAAAACCAATACACTAAACATTCGGATTAGCTATGATGAGTATCATTAGTATCATCATATTATTCAATAGCTAAATATAATGACGATATGATATTTACATTTTATAGAAGAATATTTTCACGGAAAATTATATTGAAATGAGATGTATCAAATATGCGGTTTTGATACATTCGATGCACACACACGAAAGATTTAACGTTAATTTCGATGTTCCATTTGCTTTAATGTACCTGTTTATTTGATGGAATGTTTGCCTACATTTTTATGCAAGTCCGAAAAATTTTACAACTATTTAACATGTAGATTATTAAATTGTTATGCTATGTTAAGTGCTGTTTGCCAGACTTTTTAACGAGTCAAACAAGAGAATAATTCGTGAATACTGGTATTACGGAAAATCATGCCATGGCTCGCTGAACGATACGCAATGATGCTTTGGGAGATACAGAGAGTGTTAGCAAATTTTATTGCAAATAAAAAATGCAGTTTAGCTAGGCGAATGTGAAACATAATGAAATTGGGCAATGTGGTAGAAAGAAATTAATCTCTGCTGCATATTCACGCTGTAAATACTAAATGTGCTCGTTTTGTGAAATATCGTTTAAATTTATTTAAATTTAAACAATAAGCTATTTGTTTACTCTTTTAAATGTATATTGGTTATATTAAACGAGATAAAGTATATTAAGTTATTAATTGTAAGATAAAATTGTTAGCTCAATCTTACTGTTAACACAAATATTTTAGACAAATTTTATTTTTTTTTCTTATTCCTAATTATTTATGTCGATAATTCAGTTCTCTGAATCTCATAATATATATGTGTATAGTATATATGTATAGTTATATGCTATCTACCGCAGGCATAATATCCATTAATGATAATGTGAGGCTTGTATTAATGTAATTTGCAGCGTATAAATGAGTCAACGATCAAAATAATTGCTACTGTAAATTGCCATAAGTATAAAAAGTATAATATTTTTAATAAATATAAAAAAAGAAAAGGAATGTATGCTCATAAAATTATACGTAAATAGATTTACTTGTAAAAAGCGTGCACTTAAAAAGTTATTAGTGTTAGATGGACATAGATGGATATTTACCTTCTGCAATTTTTGAATAGCATGCATAAATGGAGATTGTATAAATAATTTTTTAACGCATAATTAAATTTGTTTTTTATAAGTATTCTTTGATTTTGTCATACAAATTTTTTAATTTTCGAGAACAATAGTATAATGGTAGAGACTTTAAAAATTTAAATTTAAAAAGTATTTTTAAAACTATAAAATTTTTGTTTAAATTGTTCTCTTATTATTTTAATGTTTAGAAAAATAGAAATTGATTTTCTTCAAGAAAATATTTCATCCCTGAATAGAGATGATGAGAATACTTACGATAAAATACCTGCCTCTTTAATTCATTAATATTTATTCAATAAGGGAGTGGAAGTGAAAAAGGTTCCGACGTACGTTTTCTTAAGAATTACGTTTTTTACAATTAATAAGATCTCAACGTAGTAAAATTTGTAAAAATAAACAAAAAATTTAGATTTATGATATAAAATATATGAATCTATATCAATAAAAATAGAATCAAAATATATAGAATAAACAACAGATCGAGAAATATAACTTATGAAAGTAGAAAATATATTGTACAAAACTTACACATGCGTTTATTCTATTATCGGATTATCATAACTATCGCATTGTATTAGCAGTAACGGTATTAAATCGTGCTTTCTTTGCGATTAATAATTGTAATACAATTTTTTTATATGTTGTAATATTTGTGAACTACCGCCTTTCTCTCATTTGTTTAGAATAGTAATAAAATAATTTTAGATATTTATACAATAATGCAAGATAAAAAAATATAACATTTTTCCACATAAAATATAATAAAAATATAACACTAATGTAAAATTATAAAATAGTTAAAAATCACTATTATAAATTAGAAAATACACAGCAATGTTGATAGATAAAGAGATTTTCAATAATAAATATATATATAATATTAAAAAACTAAAATTTGTGTCACAAATAAGTCTTCGTCGATATAAAGGAAATACTGTTAATTAGCTCTTTCCTATTCATACATAATATCTATTCTTCAATGATCAATCGCATGAATTATTCTGAAACATTCAAATAACGCAAGAGAGTGCAAGAAACATCTAAAATATATTCGAGAAACATTTGAAAGAATCGAAAGTCCTTTAGACATTTTTTTGTAATGTACTTTCGACGCTTGTTTAATGTTACTATTACTATTATAGGCCATTACATTAATTCTCTACTTTACTAGCAGTATTTTCGTCATACTGAATGGACGGTACCATAGGTGGCTTGAAGCCATATTCCATTTTTGATTGTCTGAAACTTCCGTGCTGCGTTTCCGGCTGCCTGGATTTTCTCATATTAGCTAATGATTGAGCGGTATTCGTGGAGAACTGCGGTGACTTTGTTTGAGAGAACACTTTGCTCTGTGAGGTTTTACGCGGAGGCGTAGGACCTACGTATTCATCCTTGCCTGATTTATCCTTCTCCACTAGATTGTACAGGATCTGCCGTCCAAAGGACGGTATCGTGTATGACGTTGTGGTCGTGTGCGGTCGCAGCATTACGTGACTGTTAAACTTTTTCGGTAGTATCACCAATTTAACATTGGAAAAATGTGCCGTAGGAACGTAGTTCTTGCCGACGTCGATATTATAACTGTATGCCGAAGGTCTATTATAAGGAACGTTGTAAAACTGCGATGAGTTCGTCTCGCTCTGTGACGGCGACACGAATGTCAAGCTATTGGCAGCACTATGGAAATTAGCGTTTCCTCCAGTAAAAATCACCTCTTGCGGCTTCTGATAATATTTTGTAAATCTAGTCTCGGTCGAGCTGCTGCTTTCAATCGGCCTGTCCGTGCTCGCACGATACGGCCGAGGAGGTAGCGAGGAAACCACCGGCTTCTCCGTGGTCTTCTCTATCGGCACCGTGGTATGCGTTGGCTGGTTGAACGGTGCCACCGGGTATGCCGGGTAAACCGCCGGTAATCTCACGTGCAACGGATACGGAGGAGGCTGCACTACTAATCGCTGGACCGTATATGGCACCCTTTTCTCGACCACCCGTTCAATGTGGAGCGGATAGATGTGTGGCAGACGGATCTGCTTCTCCACCACACGCTCGACCGGTACTTGCACGGGATGCAGCATCGGTACCGGCACCTTCTCAGACATCGGAATCTTCTTCTCGATTTCGATCGGATGTGAGTGCGGCATGTGAATGGTTTTCTCGATCGGATGGGGCCGCGGAATCGGCACCATGAAGCCTCCGTTCGCAGACGATCCCTCGGGAATTATCCTAAGAAGAAGTTGCGTAGCTTCCGGTCGCCTTATCTCCGGCGATCGGAATGAGTGCTGGTAATCATACGGTTGATTTGATTGCGGCTGCTGCACCGAATACTGATACGTATTTGGTACGTACGGTTTTACACGCTCGCTCGCTGTTTCTTGTTTCGTTGAACCTACAACAAGTTTCCCGCGTGGCGGTATGCCGTTATCATTGCCGTTAAAATTATGTCGTACATTGGATTGATCGTATAACGTGTCATCAAATTGATTCGGGGCCAACAGAGCGGGCTGTATGCCGTTGTATTTGAACGACTGCAATTCAAGGGCCGTTTGCTCGTGAGTACCCGATGAATACTTATTGTTAGTGTTGACAATCGAAGCTATCGGTCTGCCAACGTCGTCCTCGAGAGCATTGTATTCGTGCTGATTAAGCTTTTGCGAGAGATGCGGGGATGTGTGGGTTTTAATATCGCTCTTTTTGTCCTGGTCATTACCTGGAACGGAAGTCAATATTATATTAATGCATTATATACCGCATTCCATCACGTATGGGTGAAAACTGGCAATTTGTAGTGGCGCTGATGCGTGCTTTGATAGTGCGAGTAATATTACGCGCATATGAGCATTAATTCGTCGTTGCACGTTAATATAAGTTTGCGTCATGTAGACTCCTTTCCGTATTGAAGAAATTTGGTGAAAGTTAATATTATCTTGAAATTATTATTAGGGCAGTTCTTTAACTTTAACGTTCACATAAGATTTTGAGCGGAATGACGATTTGAATGATAAAAACAAAGATTACTATTAATAATTAAAAATAAATAAATTAAATGCAAATATATTACTATAACATTAATTTCTATTATATTTTGAATAAACTTAAATGACTTTCTATAACCGGTATTTTTACTTCAAAACCGTCTTTAAGTAGCAAGCTGACGTTATTAATAACGTGTCGTTATTTATTACTAAAGATGTATTAATAATTATGTATATTACCTTGATAAATATCGTAAGTTGGTCGCAATTCTGATTGCTCGATCTGATCATATAGTTGGTTCGATTTCTGCCAATTCCCAATATTATTCGTTTCGATAACACCGAGGTTTGACGTCTGTTGAATATACTCCGGAGGATAATGAATCTCTTGCACTGGCGCGGTATGGAAGAGCTCGATGGACTTTTGAATCTCAACAGAGGTATCAGGAACTTTTTTTATATCAACCTCAACTTGTTTCTCAACTTCGTCCCGTTCAAAATTCTCATCTTGATAATCGATATGTGATTGATTGCCATTGTTCTTGACAAATTCCTTATTCACAGTAGATAGACGTTGTAAATCGTCTTGAGGATAATCCTGGAGATAATCCATCGCGACAGATTGCTCACTATTATCTATCAAACTAGCTTGATTGGCGTTCACCAGCGTGATTCCGACTTGCAGAGGGTTCAGCATGACCGAGGATGTTATTGAAGCCGCCACTTTTGAGCCTCCAGTGTTAGTCTCCGAGGTAATCTCGGCGTTCTCGATTGGTTTGTACGCTTCGGATATATCATCCATATAATCAACCATCTCCTGAGTATCAGGCAAATCGGCCACTATGATGGGACCTGAAAATCTTGTTTGAAACGAAGGACTAATCTCTACAGTCGTCGATGTTCTCACGTTTTCCGATTTTGTAGTAGACTCCACAGATTTCTCCGTGATTTTTTCATTGACGGTATCATTATGCACTCGAGATGATCTTGCTTGTGGTGTCGGAAGAATTTCGGGCACGACATCGTTCTCGAGAATCGAAGCAATGTTGCCTGACAAGTTTTCCGTTGTAATTTCACTGAAAATTTCATCGAAATTCTCCAATGTTTTAGACTTAACCATTTTGGAAGCATCAGAAGACGATTCATCTGCTAAACTACTTTCCTTTTTCAGTGCGAGCACAAATGGTTCTTGAGTAGCTGATGTATAAGGCCCTTTATAGTTATCTTCATTTTGAAGAGGCAACATAGTACTGCTGAAAGACTTCGTGTGCTTGTTATCTTTTCGATCTTCGCTCGTCGAAATGATAGTCCTGACAATTGTTCTGTCATGTGGATGATCTTGCCGGACTTTTTGTCCAAAATTGCCGGCATTTTCGACAAGAAACACATCATCGGAATACCCTGGTTCGAGACTTGAATATTCTTTAAATGGATACTTGTTGGTTGTCTCTAAATGGACACTTGTCTTGGCGAACGACGTCGCATAAATTGATCCTAGCGGCGAGGAATCGGTCTTCGAAACACCATTCGATCCTCCTTCCTCATCGGCGTGAACTGCTGATCTACTTAGTTCGACATTCGCGAAATTACTAGAATCTTCTTCATCTTCGATGTCCGTTTGTTCAGAACTCTTTTCTTCTATCACATAAGGTTGTACTATCTGTTTCACCGGCAGATCATGAACTTTTGTATCAACAGCCTGAAAAATAAATAAATTAAAACAATTGTCTACAGAAAATTTACGGTTATTATATATGAATATATTATATGATATTCAATTTTTTAATTAATGTTTTAGATATAATATTACAATTATGATTATAGCACATTAGCACATTATTAATTAATTATTAATATATAAATGTAGAACTGAATAAATTTGTAAATTTATACTAATACCCATCCAAAAATAAATTTTAGAAATATATAATTTCTATGAAAACATCATACTTTGCATGTATTTGTAGAAATTATAATATACATATAAAAAAAGCTAAAATTAAGTAAAAGATTATTGAAAGAAGTAAAATATTGATAATAAAATATTATTTATTTCATTTTGTAATATATACTTTACTTTCTTTTCAATCTTCAGTTCTTGTGTGATAGACATGTAGAATTTATAAGAAAATAAAATTAAACTCCAATATAAATGCAACTATAATTATCATTTTTCATTAATTAATTTATAATTCATTAGAATGTTTATTTGAATCATCCGTTCGAGAGAATTTATTTTAATTTAATTTATTTTATTTTATATTTTTTCCGACTATGTAATTTATTGTATGATATTAAGAGGCATTTCCCTATTTTATTTATTTTCTTGAGCAGCCTTGATTCCTGTTTGATGTCGCTTTTAAATTATTTCAAACGCTCATTAAATATAAAACTTTCTTCATTTTATCACCTTAAAATCGCTCGTTTATTTTTTTTTCAACTCTTTCTGCAATATCTGACATCAGTGTTGTTAACCGGAGGAGGAAATGAGATACTTGATCGCATCCAAGCGCCACGGATCTCCAAACGAAGCAAATCGCGGTGACCCAGAAGATTTTACAAAAAGAAGGCGAAGTATAGCGAAGTCTAGCGTATCATGATAAAAAATCCATGTGCTTTGACTGTTCCAAAACAAATCGACACACTTTTTTGTGAAGCAAAAAAACTAACGTAGTGACTAATACATTACACACACATACACACAGATATATTAGGTGTTGGAATTAATTCGTAGCGTTTTGAGAAAGAGAGAGAAAGAGAAAGAGAGAGAGAGAGAGAGAGCTATTGCTCTTATGGTTTCGTCAGTGAAAGAGCAATATTTTCCAAAAAGTTTATAACACATCAAGTTTTTTGATCATTTAACATAATCCAAGCGATCAACTTTCTCTAAAACGCGAATTATTGTCCCGTAAAGATATGGACATGAAAATCGATAAAAATTTGTTGTTAAAGAAATGAACTGTCAGTAAGTTTCACTGAGCAGATTCTTATCACTGCTACAGATAATTAACCAGATCTCGAAAAGAATCGAGTGAAGCTCTGGTTATATGGGACGGACACACCCATTAAAAAGAATCTACAGCACCCCGTAGTTTCCCGTCGTAATCCCGCACGATGATCTTTTCGCATCGCGCGGGAGATCGGCGTGGCGTCTGAAAATAACGCATCTGACGGCCGCCCGGCGCGAGAGAAAGGTGCAGTTACGGTACCGACATCGATCTCCCTTTCTCCTGTGGCGTTCGAGAGAGAAGAAAGGAGAAACGAGAAAGATGCGTCGCATTCCTGTACCGAGCGCAAAAGAAAAACCAGTGAGAGTCGAGTAAATCCCGATGGTCCAGCGAGAATGAAGCGGAGCTGATACGTCCTCAATAATCCACACCGATTGGACCCTTTACTTTCTCCTTATATGCCGAAACCACATATTTTGCTTTCTTTCACAATAGGTATTTCTGTATTTTTAATTGAACGGTTCGATATAAAAAAATTAATTCAATTAGACTGAAGCTATATTCCTTTATTGAATAGATCATATAAATTATGAATTTGCTTCACTCTTTAATATTAAAACTTTCATTTATAATATTTACATTTCTCAACGTTTCTCAACGTTTCAATTCTTGAGTAATTATACACTTCAAATAATGTTCTTACAACTACCAATTAAATATAAATCAAGATCTGCTTGAATTTAATTTAAAAAAATTTAGTTGTCTATTTGTTCAACACATAAAGCAACATTAATTAAACGGAATTCTCTTTAATTTTTAATAAATTAATTAATTTTTACAAATGGTAATTCGTTATACACATACACATATTTTTCTATAAGAAATATTATATATTTATTATTATATATTTAGAGAAAATTAACATATTTTTTTTAGATTTGTCTACTTTTTACGATATTCAAATTTTTTCCATTTATTTTATTTTGCCATTGACCCACATTTGAACAGTGTTCTTAGTAAACTAGAAGCGTCATAACTTTTTGCGTGTGTTACGGATCTGTGATACTGCATGGATGCATAAATATTACGAATAAATCAAGACTTAATTGACTGTCGTTTGGCTTATCCGACACAGATACGGAGAGAAGTGGTGCATTAAGATAATAATAATGAACAGTGTAGTTTTTTATGGGGCAAGTGTGCGTCAACAAGAAATAACCATAACTTTGTGTCGAAGCACTAATAGTCTGCTGCATAAAGAGCGGGCAGTCTTATCTTTCTACTTTAACATACCTATAATTTATATACATATGTATAAACACATTAAAAACAACTTTCTCCATACATTGTTCTCGTAAGGAAATATTAACTAAATGTATTATTATAAATTATTTCTGCATATTTTACTGATTAAATCAAAATAATGTGTTTGAAGAATGTCTTAAAGCAAATGCATATTTAGTGATTTCTGATTTTCTTATTTATTGGCCTTTTGGTTGTCTAAAAACCATAAATGTCGGTAAACCGTATCTTTAAATAAGTTGAAAGAATAAAATTAAAAGATTCGCAAGGTATAACATTAATTTAACCAATCTTTTTAAAAGCTTGAAATAGTCGTTCAAGATATAATTTTCTCAGCTCTTCGACTGGAAAATTTCAATCTCGGCTATTAATCGTACACTTGACAAACATTGATCGATTCGTTTTCTCTGCGTTGCATGACATTGTGTAACACACGATGGTGCGCGATGGTGCATTTCGTTGGAACAACGGCAATTACCGGCGGATGAATTTACGTCCGCGTGTGGCCACTTTCACTGGTGAGTTTCCTTTTAACGCGAAGAAAATACACACTCGTCATGCCCGCCGGCGCATTCTTTGTCGCGTTTTACCTTGTCCCTGACAACGTTCCGCGAGCGCACCTTTTAATTCAACCTCAGAATTTGTATAATAGCAATTGCATCAATTTCACCCGGAATGCACTCGAAACAACCGCGATTAAGCCACCCGCTGACGCGATTCACGTCTGCACGACGCGGAATTTTCACCGTTTATCCTTAAACGGGTTAAAGTGTATTTTATTTCGCGTGAGAGAGTATAAAGAAATAAGGACTTCTACCTTATTACAAGAAAACATTCACTTTTACTCGACAGAGTAAAGCTATTTAATTAAAAAATTAATGTTTAAAATTTATAAAAAATGTCTCAACGTTCAGAGAAATTTTATATTAAACACATATATAAATACGTGCCTATACACGTTCTTTATTTTCATGAAAATTAATAAAAATAGAGAGAGAGAGAGAGAGAGAGAGAGCGAGAGAGAAGTTTTATTTTTACATTATTAAATTGTACAAAAAAAAATAAATTTTAATTTTATTATAAAGCTTAAAATTCTTGTTCTTCATGTTGTTTTATTTTCGATATGATTTTTTATTAACTTTCATATTAATTTTAAAAATATAGAATTATCAACTTTAACTTAACTTATACTTGGTATTTTAGATAATATACATATAAATACAAAATTAACACTTTTATTCTTAATCTCTTCTTTTAAATAATGATATTTCATCAGTAAAGAACTTCTTGGATAAGTAATTTTGTATTGTATTAGAAATTTCTTGGCAAACAAAGCGAAATTCCGACACAAAAACATGAAAATTTCCAGAGTATGCAAATATAAATGTGCGCGAAAGTATTCGACTTTCTTAGTTCTACGATTTTCTCTACATTGATTAAATTTCAAAATTCTGTTATTGGCGTAAACTCATTCCAATTTTATAAATTAATTAATCTTATATATTTATATTTTTTATTATTCACATACAAAATATTTAATTTCAGATTTATTTTAATTCTATGTATTATCCGCGAATTAATATTTCATTTTATCAATAAATTCTATCATTGTACATCGTGACGAAAATGATGTGAAGCAAAATTAATTGTTCGCGTTTTTCAATGGAAACAGTCGGCGCTTCGCGAAAGACATTTTAGAAAAGGTGGGAACCGCAGCCAATGAATTATTTCGTGTGGCACAAACGTGTTGCAAGTGAAAATATTCTCTTTCTCTCTCGGTTCCTCGAAACCGCGACATTCACTCGATCTATGCTAGCTCCCAGCTGTAATTCATCTCGGCTCGTCGCGCCTATACGTAAAGTAGCACTTGAATGACGCGCCGCAAGTAGATCGAGGTTAAAGATTTCTATGCCCCAAGGTTAAGGATGTTTGTAAGCACTATATTCGCCTAAACTCTAGGGCCTGTCGTAGCTAGGTATCCCCTGTGGTTATTATCGGAATGAAAAGAAACTTTTTTAATGACACACGCGCCTCAATCATCTTTGGACTTTCTCTACCGCGTGTAGGAACCATTGATTTAGATTTTATTACAAATATTTTCAGCCATTAATATCATTTTCAATGTCAATGTCACTTTCTATAAAAGCAAACTCTTAAAACCTCTCTGAAATTTGAATTGAAAATAAATTAAGATGGAATTTATATTTTTCTTATATTTTTTCAAGGTTTGTATAATTTATGGATTATTAATTTTTTAATGAAATTGCTTATAACTAAATATAAAATTTTTAATTTAAATTTTTGTATCACATAATTTAATGTAAATAAATATTAAAACATTATATTTTAATAATTTATTCAAAAAAATTCACTACGCTAATGATTCATGTGATGTTCTATATTATAATTTAATACAATATGATTTGCCGAATTTACCTTTTCACCATTCAAATTTGCGATGTTGTGTTCCGAAGATGCAGTTATGAATGCCGCCCATGTTATAAGAGCAACCTGTAAGAAAAGTTATCATAATACATCCTGTACGTAAAAAAAAATGACACTGTTATCTACTTTGACGTAAAAATATGAATAGCTGTAGATTTATAAAAATGCATTTGGTCGTAAAAATAAAATGCAATACAATTTAATTTTTAAATATAAATAATTTCAAAAATTTGGGAACACACCTGCGATTTTTTCGCATTTCATAAAGTTTTTTTTTATCTTAATGGAAAAAAGTTTTTAATTATACATTTTGAAGCGCAAAAACAAGGCTTTAAATCGGCGATTGAATTTTTTTTACATTATATTCCTAAATCATATAAAATTGAAAATTGATACTTTTTACAATATTTTTGTTTTACTTTAAAGTGCTGCAGTTTGAGAAAAAACATTTGTTGTATGTGCTTGATTTGTACAACTTTTTCTCAAAATTTTTCAAAAATTTTATCCAACACTATCAATTTTAAAAGTCCTTAAAAAATTTTGTAAAAATTTATATGAATCAAACATTATAACAAACATTTTTGTCTAAATTTTTTAGTTTCAAAGTTAAAAAATATTTTGGAAAAAGTAAATTTTTATATAATAAAAAAATTTGATCTCTGTGAAAAATCATTGTATCACTTTGTTTCAAGAAGCATTTAAAAGTTTAAAAAGCTTATTTTAAAATAGTTTAATATTAAATTTTGTTTTATCAAATAGGAACGGTTCAAAGCAAGATAACAAATATCATTCTCAATTTTATGTGAACAAAATGTATAAAAAATTCAAACACGGATTTGAAGCTTTATTTTTGTATTTAAAAATGCATAATTCAAAATTTTTCTACATTTTTTTTTCGCAGAGATATGTAACTTTTTGTGAAATGCATGAAAACCACAAGTGTTTCCAAACTTTTGGCCGGCACTGTTTATGTAATAAAATAAATAGAATAAGATTTTGAAAGAAGGGAAAAGAGAACATAATTAAACTTATATGTTTATCATGATAAACAAGTTTTATAAAATAAATTTTTCACTTTTCCCTTTCAATAAAGATAGATCTAATGAAAATTTTAAATAAGATTATTATTTTACACTATTTATTGACTTTAAAAACTATAATTAACATTTGTTGAGATAAACACACACACACACACACACACACACACACACACACATTAGATATAAAATGAAATAGTATAACATACAATAAAAAATGAGGATAGTTTTAAATTATTCTATTAACACTCATTTTCTTTTAGTTAGTTCATAATTAATATAATAATATTAAGAGATAAAACTATATGTTATATATTATATTTTTAAAATTAATTTTTTAATAGTTAAATAAATTTAATATATAAAAATTCTATTTTATATTCAACTATTATCTTTATTTACATTCATTAAGTTCTTTATAATTGTTCAAAATTCAGAATTTATTTTAAATTTATAAATACGTAATGTTAAGATATTAATTATAAAACATAAAGTTTCTTATTTTTTTGTCATATTTAAATTTAGTTAGTTAAAACACGAGTAATCACTAGCTGAAATATTGTCCCGAAGATTACATGATTTCATATGATTTTATCTGATTACAAATAATTTTTTTCATTATATATGAAGTAATTTGGTAAAATATATGATTTTATTTAATTAATTTTAATATTATACAATGACTTCTCGTGGTTGCATATGTAATTATCGGATTATACGTAGAGAATTTTTCATACGAATTTTATAATGATTTCGAGGAATCTGTCCCACGATTACATTAAGTGGTTACCCCCTCGTAAAATACTATAAGTGCAAGAAGGAAAAAACATAAGAACCAATTTAATTAACTTACAGCGTAGAGTCTCATATCTTCTGCCTTAATGCATTAATAAGCAAGAGTTTTGGACAAATTGCACAAGTTCTCCGCGTTATGCTCGGCCGATGATCTCCGGTCCTCTTTACACGCTTCTAGTCGCGCGATGTTTTTCGCGTACCCGACGCATGCACTCCGCAACGAGACAGTGTGTACTACTTCATCTTGACGCGATACAGTTGACTTAAGCCGAAGCTCTAGTTATCCCCACGCCAGCGAGAAGCCGCGGCAACCACCTACGAAATCCCTCCAGCATCCGCAATGCACGCCTCACACTCCTCACTTGTCGCTTACCTGGCGATCGGAGGAAGCAAGAGAGCTCCTTGAGTTAAATGATAAAGAGAGAGGCAGAGACAGTCGTGGAGGGTGAATGGCTTGCAGAGATTAGCGATGGATATACGATGCGATAGGTATAGGATGCACGTTTCCGTATCAGTCGATGGCGGAAATTAACTCTTGGCAAATCTCGAGTTCATTTTCAAACTGGAATTCAAATTAAAAAGCACTTATATGGATTTCTCAGGAAATCGTGTCTTTCTGCAAAAATTTACTATTCTGCGGAGACGAGTAATTTTAATCATCTTATTTCGTAAGATGATTTAATATGTAATGATTTTTCTGGTCTTAAAGTTATTATTATTAATATGCAAAATATATAATCAAAGATCTTTCGTTTGTTTGGATTTTTGTTGTCTTGTATTCATCAGTAGCGGAACGCAAGGTGGTGAAAGTGACATTGGCCGCTTGAAGAGGGGATTTTAATGACTCTTCAATTTTCCTCTCTTTCATTCGCGAATGTTATGCACATCGTTATACTTGCGGCACTTCGATTTCACCGAAGCAATTTGATTAATTTTTGGACAGATGTTGGGTAAAGCATATAGATCGCGAAGACCATTTTTTTTATTATTTATCTAAAAAAATGTATGAACGTGGAAGTAAAAAACGTGAACAAATAAAGTATATTTTACAAAGAAGGAATTACTTTAAGATTAAAAATTGTAAGTATTACTTTTAAATACTTTATCTCGATACCTTTTATGTAAAAATACAAAGCTTAGTAATAAGATACAAATTAGAGACATGATTCTTATGACTTGTTATGTATGTTTGTCTCAATTTATGTCTGTCTTAACTTATGCATGTATAAATAAACGAAGAATTAAAGAAAACTGATTTATAAAATTTATTAAAATTATTTATCTTTTTTTAAAATTTTTAAATGAGCACTTTATCTTAGAGTAAAAATGATATTATTTAAAAAATAAAACTCGAACTGTCATTAAATTTACTTTACAAAAATTATCAACGTTTATGACTTATAAACTATTGAACTTTCTCCATATATATATATATATATATATATATATGAGAATCATAATATAATATACGCAATCATAGCTTTCATTTCGGCAAAGGAAGAACTACTGATTCTCAGTCTTTTATTTTCCTCTCTAGTTTTCCCTCATTCCATAAGTAGCAAGTTGTATGGTATGCCACGAAATCGGAACATGAATACTAGCAAATGCGTTTAATATGTCGAATAAATCAACTTCTTAACTATCAGTACTATCATTTTTTAAATTTATTTTTATAAAGTAGTTGCACAACAGTTAATATTGTAAACAGCATATACAATGATAAAACAATATTGATAAGAACAAAATAATCCAACTAATCTTAGTTATCTTTAATTTAATAAAAGCGTCTCTTCTGGTTATTCAATACATTAATTGAAATATATTATGTACGTATAAAATATAGCCGGTTCGCTATATAAAGAAGGCACAGTATTTCACGTCATGTTTCTTTTGCTTAAAATATATGCCTATTAAAAAAATATTTGTATATTACTTTATTGTTTATTCAATGTGTACACTTAGAAAAAGATCCGAAATGTAAGTATCTCGTTCAAATTATTTATAAAAAATAATAGGAAAAGGAAATTCTTGATGGAAAAGGTTAAAAATATGATAGAGAGTATAGATGATGCGATAAATGTATACGTTTCTTTCAAACTTGTTTATATTAATTGAAATTTACCATGAATTAACAATGTATGTTAAGAATATTCCTTTTTTTAAACAATTGTAACTATATGATAATCGTAACAATCTAAATTACGCACCAATATACTGTTGGCTCTTGATTTGGATTATAATTTGATTTATACAATATTAGATAATCGTAATTCTTCTTTGTTGCTACTAATATAAAAACGTAAGCATAAAAAGTATAAATTTCGCATTTAAATAAAGAAATATAACTACTAATTAATATTCAGTTTTTTGAATTACAATAATCTGTTAATTAAGTGATCTCTAGATGATCAGTCTATTAATATGAAATCAATAAAAATTATTTTACATCATTAAGAGTTATTAATATAATATCTATAATAATTATATACATCACATATATAAAGGTGTAAGACTGAATTTGAGTTTATTCACTTCAATTTTAACACAATGGAATTTATATTAGTCATTATATTGAAAAAACCTTTATTATTCTATGTTATGTGATATAATATCTCTAAATAAGCTACCACATATGTAATTGTTTCAATTTATTTAAAAAAATTATTAGTACTTTTCATAAAAATCACTTGTTTTTATTTTAAAAGGAATAGCACGGATTATCTGAGACACACTGTATATTTATAACTGATTGATGAAATTAAAATTATTCATACATATATATATTATATACATGTTTTTATAATTTATACTATTTATGAAACTTTTATAAATATACCTATGAATATAAAATATACATATGAATATATTTATAATATTTATTTTATAAATATAAAAATAAATATAAAAAAAATAATTGTAACTATATTATATTTTTGAAAATAAATATATATTTTATAAATATAAACATATTTATAATATATACATATAGGGTAGATAGTCCAACAGTGAACCAATAGTCCAACATTATGAAATTATTGCGATATTTCATAAATGCAACGTTATCAGATTATCCTGCTATCATACAGCGACTCGCATTTGACCCCCCCCCTCCTCCCTCTCTTCGGCTGCCCAGTCCACTGGCAAAAGGTGGTCATGTAATGTCACATTTTAAGAATTTTGAGTTGCAAAGTAAGTTTTTTCCATAAGTTTAAGCGCATTTTTCATGTTTTGGTTGTTATCTATCATTTTTTTCATTGTGCAATAGTTTTGTGTACATTTGGCTTTATTATTCTGTAAGTAATTCTTTTTCTGTTACATTATTTTATCACATTATTTAGGAGATTATCGTGGAAAAGGTTAGGTGATCTACAATAAATCATTTTGATGTAGTGAACAATAAATCGTATATTGTAAACCACGTAACCTTTTTTACGATAACAAAATAATAATTCATTATAATAATTATTTAGAATACGGCACCTCCTCCCACCTGAAATCTCAGTAAAAATATACTCATTTGACGCGTTTTCACTTAAAACGAAAGAAAAACGCGGTGGTCGGCCTTGTGAATCCCCACCACCTTATAATTATCTATTTTATAAACATTTTAAAATATAGCAAAACTAAAATAATCCCAATAATTCGCAGTATAAAACATATAGTTCATTATTAAAAATAGCATGGTTCATTGTGTAACACTCCTTGCACACAATGAACCATTTCCTATTTTTTAAAATAATCGAAATTGACTAAACTTCAGGGATAACTTAAAAGTTATTATTTACAATATGTAATCAACTAAATTCATCAGCTGTATGCAAAAATTCAGACCTTCAATAATTGAGAGAAATACGAGCCTATGAAATTTACATGGTTTATTGTTGGATCACTTATCTTATACATATATAAATATAAATGTATTTATAATATAAAATAAATAAATATGTATATATAATATAAATGTATAATATATAAATAAATAATATATGTATAAATAATATATAATATGTATAATATAATATGTATAAATAATATATGTAATAAATAATAATAATAATTTATAATATAAAATGAAAACAAATTATAAAAACTTTAAAATATTATAATAAAAAAAATTATATAATTAGAGCACGTTTGATAAGTTATAAGGTAATATTACACAGTGTAGTGTGTAAAGCCCTACAACTAGCACCAGGTATGTTGAGGCCCATAATGCATCCGGTTATGAAATCATAAAATGTTAGTAAATCAGATGCAAACTGAACATCAAAACAATAGTGTAGTTTAACAAGAATATCGAAGGCAATTATTGGATCGTCACCAACTGAAATTAAATTTTCATCAGTCTTTATATAAAATTGTCCTTCCTTTGTTTGTCCAATTACAAAGCACACTAAAAACGGTTGGATATTTTTTGGTTTTTGAGACAAAGTTTCATCTTCTTCATTATTTACAAGTAAATCTTCCATTGTCTATATTAAAAAGTAAAAACAATGTACATGGCTTATAAAGTATCTATAATACGCATTTAAGTTAATATATGATATTTTTTTAATTACAATACTCACATGAATAAACTGTAATAAATTTCGATTTGGAATTTGTTTAAGGGAAAAATTCGATGCTTTAATTTTTACACCTTTTGAATTGTCTTCTCTCTGAAATTATAATTAATATTATTAGATTTATATACTCACGCTCTTTTTATAAAAATTATTCCGAAATCGGAAATTATTTTTGAATAGCTTACAGATGTTTTCGTTTTTGCATAGTTCGGAGAGGGCAACAACTCCGGCAACAAAATCAAAGCTTTGAAATTATCTGTAAAGTATAAAAAAGTATCAATTACACACAAAAGAAATGCACAAGTTATAGAAAAAATCGAGTTCTTATTCAATAATAAAAAATAATATTAAACTACTCATTATCATACCATCATCAAAATCATCTACTTTTTGGAGCAAGTACTCCTTTTTCATATGGCAGAATTTCAAAATTCTCGGCACATAGTAAGATGAAAATTTTCTTAAAAATGTATCATTGTTTGGAAACATCGATATAAATTCCCTATGAATCTGAAATAATGAATGAAATTCTGAATAATGTAAATCATTTGAATGAGAAAAAAGTTACATATTTGCAAATATTATTTTTCATACTTCAATTAACATACCATTTCTCCATTATAATCTTTTAGTTTTGGATATAATCTAAATATATCATCTATTGTCATCTGTTCGGAA